ATGACAGCATTGTTGAAAACATTATGCCACAAAACATGGGAGCAAGTACACAGCCTTGACTGGGAAAATGTGAGAGTACAGTCCATTATCCAGACCCCATGCAAGCATGCCATTGTGAAACTGATGTATAACACTGATGAACTTCTCTGGGCACCCAAATTTTGCCATAATTTTCCAGAAGGCCTCACGACTGACAGTATCAAAAGCCTTGGTCAGATCAACGAACGTTGTGTGCAGACCTCTGTGCTGCTTCTGGCATTCCTCCTGGAGTTGTGAAACAGCAAACACCATATCAACTGTTCCTCAGCCCTTTTTGAAGCCATATTGGCCCTCAGGTAGATGACCATCTTCCAGGTGAAGGATCAGCCTATTAAGGAGGACTCTGGCAAGGATCTCGCCAACAATGAGTAAGAGAGATCCCCCTGTGATTGTCACAGGACAATTTATTTCATTTACCTTTATAGAGATGGACAATGGAGGCATCTTTGAACTCCTGAGGGATAACCTCCTCTTGCCACATAACTTGAAAGACTTCAGTTACCTTTTGTATAAGTATTGAACCCCTAGCAAATGAAGGTCAGTCAGAGCTGGATACACATTTTTCCAAAGTGGCCACAGCAAAAGGGAGCACTGTGAAGCTGTTGTAGGTTTCACAATCAAAACTAATCTAGTCAACAAACTTGTATGCCTTCCAAAAGGAGTGAATGACAGGCTCATGACAATGTGATTTGCAGGAAAGCATCATACCACCACCATCAGTGCACATGCTCCCAGCATGATGAACCCTCATCATCAATGTGCTGAAGAAGGTTAAGCTTATAACTCTGGGTGACGTTAATGAAAGAGTAGGCACAGATTACCAGACAGGGGCAGGTAGTCCTTAGGAGGGGCAGCTAGGTGGCACAGTGGATAGAGCACCGGCCCTGGATTCAGGAGGACCTGAGTTAGTGCGGGTGACTCTTATCCATTAGGTTCAGCTGCTAATTTGAGGTCATAGGACCTACTAGACCTTTGGTTTCAGTGCCAAACTGGTTGAAGATGACTAGTGGTCCATACCTCAGCCTCGGCTTTCTTCATACAGTTCAGTCATGAGTTGAGTGGGAAGGGTTCATACAGTACTGCACAAAGCCCAGCTCTAGTTTTTAAATCACCCACCCAAAGAGTGAATCTTAACATATTACAGCAGCAGCAATTTCGGCATGCTAGGTGCTCAGCAGTGTGCATTTTACTTCAAACCCTCATGAAGCCCCTGGATTATTTTTGATTTTAAGAAAGCATGAACCAGATGTGACATATAGGCCACACCCCCACAGCACGTGTCATGTGAATACTGGTTCTCTTCTTGATTTGGGTGTCTTGGTTTTTTGTTTTGTAAACCAAGTTTTATATTCTGTAATGCAGTTCCTATCTGTTTCTCAATAAAACTGTTTACATTCATAAAAACACAAAAAATACCATCCTTAGTTCATTCTGAACTTTAGCACAAGCTATGTAATGTACGAAGAAGAGACAGACAAGCTGTGAGAATGATGAAGGCAATGTGTGGTGCTGAGTAGTGGACTGAGTATAAACATCCTCTCCAAGCTAAATATTCACATTCAAGAAAAGCAGAAGCCCCACAGCAAAATGGACTACCATAAGACTTAATATGTCAACAGAATAGAGTGCTTCTCTGAGCAGGAAAGGTTTGTTGCTAACTTGGAGGGCTAAGCACCAACACACAGTTGACAACAGAGGAGCAGAAAAAAAGTAGGCAGCTTTCAGAGATTTGGTATACAGCATTGCATTTACTACTCCTCTGGGCCAAAACACTTACTAACACATCAAGATTGGTTTGATGAAAATGATGGGGAAATTCAGAAGCTGCTAAAAGAAAAATGAGGCCTCCAGAGAGTTTACCAGTAGGATAGTTCATCCGTCTCTAAGAAGGCAGCACTCAACTCCATCAAAAGTAAGGTGCTCAAGTGAAGCTTAGAGAGATGCAGGATTCTGGGCTCAGTAAGAAGGCAGATGAAATTCAGTTTTATACTGACAGTAACAATTCAAAGTGCTTTTATGATGCCATGAAGGCTATTTATAGGCCAAATACCTATGGTTCACCTCAACTAGCTAGTCTTGATGGAGCCACATTGATTAGTGATAAAGACATCCTGGAGAGACGGGCTGGAACACTTCCACAGTATTCTCAATGACTACCATCAACCAATGCCAAAGCCACTGTATACCTCAGGCTGAAGTCAATCCTTCTCTAGCTGAAATTCCAGCTAAGGAAGGGGTTCTGAATACCATTTGGTCCCTCACACGTGGCAAAGTGCCTGGTGCTGATTCTATTCCAGCTGAGATTTACAAGGCAGATTTCAAATAGTATTTTGAGGACCATCTTAATGCTTTTAAACCTACTATGGAAACAGATCCCACTTTAAAACCAACATTAATTTCCAAAGAGGATAAATTACAGAAATGAGGCTATCTGAAAGTGCCAATACAGCAGGCATGCTGTGATTTTTATCTACAGGTCCACCATTAAGGGAAGTCAATTCCCCAAGAAAATATTTTCATTAGTTACACATAAAACAAAAATGAACACTTGAAATTAACCAAAACATAAATATTTATGCTACTGCAACACTGATAAAAAATCAACATTTAATTTTTCTTTTAATAGCTTAAAATTACACTAAGGTTTTTGATAATGACCTAAATAATAATAATTTTTGAAATATATGATCCCTAACCAAAGCTTAAGGACCTATCTAGTAGATGCAGAATGGTCAAATGTGCTACAAAAACAACACATTTAAGGAGTAACATTAAAAATCACCTAGTTTTTCTGTAAACAATAATAAGAATTAAGATTATAGTGCTTTAAAACTTAAATGTTTTATATATGTTATTCATCCTCACTTAAAGCAGGTGCTATTAATTATCTGCATTTTACTGATGAAGAAACTGAAATTGAGAAAGTGTAAGTGATCTTGCCCAGGGTTCACAGAACTAGAAGTGTCTGAGTATTATGAGTGTAGTATCACAGTACTATGATATTATAAGTGCTAAATGTATGAGGCAAGACTCGAACTTAGGTCTTCCTAACTTCAAGCCAATGCTCCATCCACTGACAACACCTGGTGGCAAAGTAGATATCCTTTAGATTTTGATGACTGTTGTTGCTCAGTGGCTCAGATACTCATAATGAGTATCTGACTCACTGTGACCCTCTTTGGGGTTTCCTTGGAGTGATTTGCCATCTCCTTCTCCAGCTCATTTTACAGTGAGAAACTGAGGCAAACAGGGTTAAGTGACTTGCTCAGGTTCCCACAGCTAGTAAGAGTGTAAGGCTGGATTTGAAGTCATGCAGACGAGTCTTCCTGATTCCAAGCCTAGTGCTCTACCCACTGAGCCACTTAGCTGCCTCGCCGTTTAGAAGATGCCAAAACAAACTGTGATAGAAGAAATTAACGAACTGTTATTGTAACATAATAAGAGATGAACATGAAGAATTCAGAGAAGCATAGGAAGGCATACGAATTGACTCAGCATGATTCAGGATGAAGTACATACACAATACTCACAATAAATATAGCCATATAAATGGAAAGAAAAAAATAAGAAACTGAACACTGTAATTATAACCAAGCTTGGTCCCAGAGACAAGTTGAGAAAGTATACCTCTCACCCACCTCTGCAAAGGTGGGGAACTATGGAGATAGAACATTTTCTCTACCATCTTTTTCAGTTGATGTGTTGGATGATTTTGCTGAACTGTGTTCTTTCTTTTTGGAAATGAACACAAAGTAAAAACAAAAGATTTTGATAAAAAAATTTTAAATAAAATCAGTTAGTCATAAATAAAATAAGCACAATATTATTAATTTTTTTCCTCCCAAGCTAAACAAATTGTTTTATATGAGAACATGTCAAAGCTAAGGGAAGTTATTTCTATTCTGGAGCATTATGAAAAGTAACCTGTTATGATAACTATCAAGTAAAGCCAAAAAAACAACTCTTAAGTTGTAAGCAAATGTCTAATCCTCCAATTCCTATATCAACATCTATCTAGCTACTTATATGTTGTAGTATTAGTGTAACATCTATGAGCTGGTTGAGAAGTCTGCTTTTCATCTCTTTTCTAGACAACCAGAATTATCCGAAACGTTCCATCGAGAGTAAACACCGTTGGAGCCTCCAAAGTATGTTTCCACAGGATGTCACAGAACTAAATATCATTTCATTTCTATCTTGTTTACTGGGAACTGTATTATCTTGTTTATTGGAGATTTTATCTTTGTCATTTAAATTTTAAGTTGAAGGTTTGTCAGATTCAATGCTACCATCTGAAATGTCACTAAAAAGGGGTCTTAAATGATTCACTAACAAATAAAGTATATAAAATACACACCTACATATGTGGCTTCCATTTAGTCACGGTGAGGTCTGAGACTATTGCCTGCTCTACCACAATACCATACTGAGATATCAAGAAGCCTCTAAATAACAGTGTAAAACCAGAATAGACCTTATATCAACTAGTCCAAATCCCTCCTGGGGAAACTGAGCCCCAAACAGACATAGAGGAACTGACTTTTTTACTTTCCTAACTTCCGAGTTGCACAGCCAGGACTAGAACTCAGGTCTCCAGATTCCCAGACCAGTGTCCTTTTCCACTACTAATTGCACAAAAGCTTTCAGGGCCACATGAGACAGGTAAGGAAGCATTTATATGTAAGCACAAAGCAAGGATGTTTTGCAGTAATAACTATCAGGAAGTATGGATCTGGTTAATTCTAAACAAAGTGGATTCCCACTTGACAGAGGAATTTTTGTACATTGTAAGAGCTCAATAATTATCACAGAATTCTAAAATATCAGAGCTGGGAGGGTTCTCCAAGACCATCTAATCAAATCCTTTCACTTTCCTGATGGAGAAACTGAGCCCTAAAGACATTTGTTTCCTGACTCCATGACATGCTGCCCAACAGTTCAACATTCAGTACAAAGGATATTCTGTACTCCTTCAGTTCTTTCAGTTCTTCTTCCCTCCGTTGTTTTTCTATTAACTCTTGCTGCCGAGAAACCTCATCAAGGAAGTTTGTCTCATCTTCATTTAAACCTCTTACCATGTTTTCTGAGGAAATAATTAGAATGAGGCACATTTAGTAGGCTATAGGGAAAATATCATCAACTAAAGCCTTTTCTATAATAAACAGCAGATCCTCTAGGGGAAAGGAAGAAGGAATTAGTAAATGACTGTGCTCTTCGAACAAACAACATGACATAAAAACATTCAATTGCCCCCTTATTACCAAATATGAGTCCACAGATGTGATAAAATACGAGATTTAACTGGGCTTCTTGAGTTTGAAACAAAAATGTTTAATACTGTATGAATGGCAAAGGGCCACCGATTTTATTTCCTTCTAAATGAGAATTTGAAAGCTGTAAACCAGTCATACAATATTATGGATTTTCTGGGGCAAAGCATCACTTGAGGCAAACAAGCATAGCATAAGACAATGACCAAAGTTCATGAGTTACATAACTTTCTCAGACTTACTGAATTTGAACTGTTCCTCATATTCCTGCTGCTTCTTGTCTTTTTGCTCCTGGAGTCTTTCATATAGGGATCGAGGATCATATACCTCCTCAGGACATTCTGAAAAGTATGGAAGGAAAATCCAAATTTACTTTACAACTTTTTTAAAGAATAATTTTGGTGCCACAGGAGGCTCTTAAACAGAATGGAGGTGACTTTAGGGTCTCAAAGACTATGCTAGAAAAACCTAAGTTCTGACAAGGTCCCAACAAGCTGGAAAGGATTTGTGCATAGGCCCAGAAAGAAACTAGCTGTCTGTCATCTAAGCACCAGTCTAACAGAGAGACTTGTTACTCAAAGGCTAGAAAGCAACAAAAAGGTGCGTTAAATGATCTTTATTCCTCTGTATCCCTCTATCATGGTGAGAATGGAAAAAGTGGCAGGAAAGAAGAGAGTAATACAAATCATGCTATCTGGGGAAAAATCTACAAATGTTAATATAACTGTTCATACTTTCAACATTCAATCTATCCAATAATCAAGCTGATATACTAAAATTAATGAACATTCTGTGTGTGCTGGAATGTGAACTGGATTTGGAGTCAAAGGACTTGGGTTTGAAAATCCACTCAGCTTCTCACTTATTAACCTTTGTGACCTTGGACAATGAAATCACTTTCTTAGGCTGTGGTTTCCAGTTACAGGACTGGATTAAGTGATCTCTAAGGTCCCTTTAGCTTTCAATCAATGATGCAGTAATATTGACGTGCTTGCTCTGAATATAAAAGTTAAAAAACCCCAGCTGAATGAATAAATGACTCGTGGAGGATTCTCCTCGAAGAAACACACACTGACACTGGAGGAGCCAGCTTAATCATGCACCTGAAAGCAACAAGAAAAAAGTGATTTTTGGTCATTCTACCTGACAATGCTCAAGATTAATATAAACATACAAATAACCATTAAGATTCTCCTGAAGCTTAAAAGTCAACATTTTTTAAATGAAAAAGTAGAGAAGTTCTGTGAAGAACCTGGCAGGATCCTTCAAGCTCTGAAGGGAAGATGCTTAGGGAAACAGAAGGGTACAATGGAAAGAGTGCTTGTTACCTAGGTGACCTTGGATAAGTCACTGCCCTTTCTCTGGGCCTGTTTCATCATCTGCAAAATAAGAGGGTTGTACTAGATGATATCTAAGATCCTATCCCACTCTAGATCCACAATACTATGATCTATGATCTTTGAACAGCTTCAAAGTACAAGTGAGCATGACCAAGACAATAATTATACTGGAAGGTGAGATCTATGAAAAAGTTGTTTAAATAATCTCAAATCATCAACAACTGTCAATTAATCAAAAAGCATTTATTAAGAATCTACCATGGTGGGGGGCAGGTAGGTGGTGCAGTGGATAGAGCACCAGCCCTGGATTCAGGAGGACCTGAGTTCAAATCCAGCCTCAGACACATAACACTTACTAGCTGTGTGACCCTGGGTAAGTCACTTAACCTCACTGCCTAGCAAAAACAAACAAAAAAAAAAACAAAAAAAAGAATCTACCATGGGGCAGGTAAGTGGCGGCAGTAGATAGAGCTCCGGCCTTAAAGTCAGGAGGGCCTGAGTTCAAATGTGGCCTCAGACACTTGACATCTATTAGCTGTGTGACCCTGGTCAAGTCACTTAATCCCAACTGAAAAAGAAAAGAAAGAAAGAAAGAAAGAAAGAAAGAAAGAAAGAAAGAAAGAAAGAAAGAAAGAAAGAAAGAAAGAATCAATCTACCATGTACCTCATACTGTATCTCTAGGGGCTGACCTATGTGAAAAAAAAAAATGCTCCAAATCACTACTACTAAGAGAAACAGAAATTGAAACAACTCTGCAGTGTCACCTCATACCCTTCAAAGGAACAAGGATGATAAAAGGTAGAAACGGTGTTGGAGGGCTATGAAAGACAAGCATTTTGATCTGTTACTGGTAGAGCTGGAAATTGGTTCAACTATTTTGAAAACAAGTATCTGTAATTGTGTGAAAAAAGTTATTAATTACATTGTTTGATCTGGCAATGTCACTATTGGTCATGAACCCTAAAGAGATAAAAAATACAGAGCTGATTCCATATATACCAAAATATTCACAGCAGCACTTCAGTAGTAGCAAAAAAAATGGAAATAAAGATGCCCACTGACTGGGGAATGGCTGAACAAATGTGTTACAGCAATGTAATACAATATTATTGTACCATAATTAGACTATAAGGAATTCAAAGAAACACAGGAAAAATCATATGAACTGACACAGAAGAAGAAAAGCAATACCAGGCACATGCGCATGTATGTGTGTGTGTGTGTGTGTGTGTGTATAAATAGTAACTACATGTATAATATATAACTATAATCATACAAATTAAAAGAACACTAAAAAGAAGCTGAATTTAGATTACATGCAATGACCAATGGTTCCAGAGGACAACAGAATACACTCCCTGCCTTTTGGTAGAGAAGTGGAGCACTCATTGGTGCTGAATGATGCATAAGTCAACAAGTGTGGTTGCATTGGTTGTTTGTACTCAACTATTTTCCTTTGTGAGAAATGGTGTGTGGGCGTGGGAGGAAGAGGGTAACCAGGAAATGTCTGTGGTATAAAAAACAAAAGGCAAAAATAAAACTTTTTTTTAAATAGGCCTCAGGATCAAAGAATGAAAAAGACCAAAGGCTTATACATACATCAGAAGTCTCACATCTGTTTGTATCATGAATAGTTTCTTAAAAAGGAAAGTCAGGCTAGAGATAGCATAACATAGCTCTAATCCACTATGCTACTAACTCTCATAGTAGTAGAACATTATTACCTCTTAAAGGTAAAGAATTCAAAGAAATATGGGAAGGCTTGTTTGAAATGGCGGAGAGTGAAGAAAGCAGAAACATATATACAATGACTTGCTTTGATATGTTTCTTATCTACCTAATGTCACTACTCCATTCCAGGCTGAAACACTTTCAAGTCTTTTCACAACTCTTGCAACTCCTGTTCATGTCCCTCTTTTAATGGTGAAGTCTACTTATGTGCTGGGAGCCTTTTAGATCTCTTTGCATAATAAGGCAGAAGATATAGAGGCATAGTGAATAGAATGATGGATCAGTAATAAGGAAGAGTAGGATAGGTTTCCAAACCACCAGCTGTATGACCCCAGGAAATACACTAGGACTATAAGTTGCAGAAAAGGTGCTGAAGAGGTGCACACCCCATATTCATTACATTTTGGCCCAACCCCAACAATGCTTCATCTTACTCTCTGGAAACATCACTGGCTCTGGAGTCAGAGAACTGGGGTTCAAATCCTGCCTGGCAGTTTCTATTTGTATGACCTTGGATAAATTCACTTACCTCTGCAGTTCTTCATTTTCTAATTTATAAAATAAGGTGACAAGGCTGGACTCTAAGGTGTTTCAAACTCTAGATCTATAATCTTAAGATGCTTAACCTCTCTGAACTATAAAATGAATTTAACAATAGCCCCTATTTCACAACAATTTCAAGGATCATTTGAAATAATGGATGTAAAAACACTTCTAAAACCTTAAAGTGATACATAAATATCAGTGATTAGTTATTATTATAAGTGGAGGGGTGAGTTCCTTCAGATATTCCTGTTTGTGAATGACTGACTTTGTTGCACCATGCCCTAGAATTCTGCAGTCTCCTGAAATCGACCACTGAAAAGAGTTTGGCCTGATGATCCACAAAGGAAAGATGTAGTAGATGAAGAATGTCTATTTGTCCAGATTATGGCATTATGACAACCTACAGAGCTTGTCCACCAGTATGTTTATCTAGGACAGGCAGTACAAATGGAGGAGTTGGACCCACAATCAAACGGGAGGAAGAAAGCAGCCTGCATTGCCTTCAGGAGACTGCAAAACTCAATAAAATATAATTTGTGAAAGTGTGCTTGGTTTTTTGTTATTATTGTTAATATCTTCATCAAGGAGGTCCCTGATATATCTGTAGATTATTCTCAAAGACTCTTCTAAGAAGAAAAAGTAGGTATATGAGTTTGGTAGTTATAAATGTTTTTAATTGCCTTTTTTCAATAATACACTTGAACTCCAAATCTAATGATACCTAAGGATAAGTGCTATGAGTGGCACCAATAAAATTATTTTAGCCTGTAAAGTTCTTCATAACATGTGCAAATCCCGGTCAATTAAAAATGGCATCAATCCTAATGGTTTTATAAATCTTAATCTTGTTAATTCTATCACAGAATCCCAGAACCCAAGAGTTGTGGTTCAAGGAAGACTACTGTTTAGGCTTTTATTTCATATTGCTAACTCATTGAGCTTACAAATTCATCTTTTTTTATAAAAATTTTTTCTAGCCACAACTTGTACGTATGGAGTCGATTTTTTTCAACTTGTGTAGAACTTTACATTTGCCATTACTAATTCTCATCTTATTAGCCTGTCATTCTCAACTTAAGATGTTTTTGAATCCTGCCTGTCCTCTAACATATTTATCTTTCCCTGCCTGGCTTTAAGTCACCTGCAATAAAGCAGACCTTTCATGACTTCATCCAAGTCAATGACAAAAATATACCAAGGACATATTCCTGAAACATTCCATTACAGACTTTCCTCCAAGTTGACATAATTAAGCTCTGTATTCTGTTATTCCACCATTTCTGAATTCTACCTAGCACATGTAGCCCATAGTCTCCATCTTTTTCAAGAGCATGAGACTAACAAATGCTTTACTAAATCTAAATATGCTATAAATCACAAATTAATATAGAACTGGAAAGGATCTCAGCAACAATTAAGACCAAATTATCATTTTACAGATAAGGAAATGAGTCTCCAAGAGGTGAAGTGACTTGACACAAAGTAACATTCAATGAGTTGGTGGCCAGATTGCTTATATTTCCATTCAGACTACAAATTATACACCATTGTACCTTCTGGATCCTCAGGTTTTCGAACTTTTTCCCATTCTTCCTGTCTCTTTTTACGTCGTTCATCTAATTCTGTCTCAGACACAAATCTCTTTTTGATAACAAGATTACCATCATCTCCTCCATCCATAATGAAACAGCCTGTTCAAAAACAAGAGTAAAGACTAGTATTAAAATTCAAGAGACAAATATGGTTATTAAGCTGCATCACATCGAGAAACTACACAGGGTGTCTCAAAAATCTTAGTGCAGTTTTAAGCTTTAATAGCCTGAGACTTTTGGAATACTCTCAATACCTCAAAAATATTCTAGAGCTTACAAGGGGAGAAAAAAAATGAGGATAATTTATTTAAAATGCTGGCCCTCCCCAAAACAATTCAGTAACATGCTGGTTTTTGTCTGTTTCAAAATATAACAGATATCTTTACTCTCAAGGAAATCATTCCAAAAACCAGTGCTGGAATCAATGGATCTGCTTGACAATGCAACCTGGATTTAGAGTCAGAGCACCTGGGTTGAGAACCAAGATCTATTACTTATCACTTGTGTATGACTTTGGACAAGTAACTTAAACTTTTTGGACTTTGGTTTCCTATCTATAAAATGAGGGATTTGTAAAATAGATAACCTCTAAGGTCCCCCTCCTAGCTCTATCCATCTATGACTTTTCTAGTTAGTGGAGACTATATAGTTTTATCACCATTCGTTTGCTTCATTGGTTTTATCAAGCTGACCTAACTACAAAATGCATTGCCTTCTAAAGTTCTTATTTCTCTCCTTGACTTCTCTGTAGCATACAGCAATGTTCCTCAATCCCTTCCTTCCTGGTTCTTCTAGCTTTGAAAACTAAGGATTGCTGATTGATTTAATATTTCTGATTTAGCATCCTTTTACTCTGCCACTTAGTCAAAGGGTCCAATTCAGCAACAGAATTGCTTATCATCTGTAACTATGCCAGGGATTTTGAAAATTCTAAATAGTGACCTCTTAATGAAATGAAAGGCAACATCTTTTAAGAAAGCATCACTTCACACAAGTAAGAAAGATGCATCAGACAGGGTGATGAACTGAAATAATCTGGGCTTCACTCCTCCTCCTTCTGACTGTAATAGCTAAAAGAATATTTTTGCAGGAAGGAAGGAATCACATCTGACTTTAATCCTAACAGTACAATGGCACAACAATTCTGTTCAAATTCTGTCAAAAGCATTTCCTCAATATCATGTAAATCATGGATACTTCAAGAGAGAGAATAATTGTTATTGAGGATTATAAATATTGGAAGATTCTTCCAATAGGATCAGAGGATTTAGGGACAGAAGTATCTTGGAAATTTCTTAGTCTAAATTCCCTCATTTTACATATACAAAACTAGAGCCTAGAGAAATAAAGGTCACATAGGTGAATTAGTGCCCACAAAGGGATCTGAATATTCTTCACGGCCCCTGTGGCTCATCCCCATCCCACAAAAGGACTCTGGAATCACACAGACCAGGTTCAGTCCTACAAGGGTGGGAAGGGGTAGGAGGGAGGGTTCCTAACTTAAAAAGGTCCATTTCTTTTCTCTTTGTGGTTCATTATCTCCACTTAAGAGTGAATCTAGGAAAATCCTCCAAAAAATAAACCCTAAGAACAGTTCATATCTAAGTTTTCCCAAACATGAGTAGCTTACACCTTCAATCATTCACTCTTCCCCCCGATTTTCAGTCTTTCTTTATCCACTGGTTCTTTCTCTTCCCTTTCAAAATCAAACACCTAGAAAGAGAAGTTCACACTTGTTGCTTCCATTTTCTGACTCACACTTACTTTGTAACCTTGCATGCAATTTGGTTTTTGATCTTACTGAATATCAACTGAAACTGCTCTTTCCTAGATTACCAATGAATTCCAGTGGCCTTTTCCCTGTCCTTATTTACCACCTCCTGCTGGGTAATCTTTTATCCCTGGGTTTTCATAACACTGCTTTTTTCTTCTGGTCAGTCTGTTCTCCACTTTTTTAGTCTCCTTTGCTAGATCATCCCCTCTTTCCCATTCCTCTCTAAGTGTTGAACCCCAAGGGCTCTATCCTTGGTCCTCTTTCTACACTGTCTCAGTGATCTTATCTTCACACAGAGGTGCAATCATAACTATACAGAGGATCTATGATTCAGTCCCAAACCCTTTCCTGAATTCTAGATGTGCCTCCTCAACTACCTATTAGACACCTCCAACTATACATTTTCCTGTCAGTCAGTTAATAAGTATTTATCAAGTGCCTACTATGGGCCAGGCACTATGCTACGTATTGGGGAATGAAAAACAAAAGGCAATCTCTGACCCCTTACTGGAATCTCAAACTCAACATGTCTAAAATAGAATTCATATTCCACCCAAAATCTTTCCCTTTTCCTAACTTAATTTTGTTAAGGGCACTACTATCCTTGACTCTTATCACATTTAATCTGTTGCAAGTCTTATTGATCCTACCCCCACAACATAACTCCCATCCCTCCCCTTCTCTATACTCACATAGTCACCACCCTAATTAAGGCCCTCATCATTCCTTGCAAGCCCAGACTACTGCATTAGCCTCCTAACTCATCTTCAATTTGAGTTTTTTCCTTCAATCCAGCTTCCATATAGCTACTAGACTGATATTCCTAAAGAATCCCCAGTACATCTGATCATGTTACTCCCATTATTCTCTCTCTTTTTTTTTAAGGCAATTGGGGTTAAGTGACTTGCCCAGGATCACACAGATAGTAAATGTTAGAGACTGGATTTGAACTTAGGTCCTCCTGACTGCAGGACCAGCACTCTATCCACTGTACCACCTAGCTGCCCCCACCCCCATTATTCTTTTTTTTTTTGGCTAGGCATTGGGGTTAAGTGACTTGCCCAGGGTCACACAGCTAGTAAATGTTATGTATCTGAGGCCGGATTTGAACTCAGGTTCTCCTGAATGCAGGGCCGGTGCTCTAACCACTGTGCCAGCTAGCTGCCCACCCCCATCCCCATTATTCTTAAGAAGCATCATGTGGTTCCCTCTTTGCCTTAAGAATCAAAAACAAATTTCTCTGTTTTACTTTTCAAGCCTGTTATAATATGGTTCTACTTTATCTTTCCAGTCTTATTTACATATAACTCTCTCATTAATTCTAAATTCCAGCTAAACTGGCCTGTTTACTATTCCCCACACATAAGATCCCATCTCCCATTTCCATATATCTGTTCAAGCTCTCCCTCATGCCTAGAACACACTCCTCTCCTTACTTCATCCTCACACTCCCCTTGTTTCCTTCAAAGCTCAGCCTATCCTGGGATCACACCAGTTTCTGCTAGTGCTCTTCCCCTGGAGATTATTTTGTATTTAATTTTCTATGCACATTTTGTTTCCCTGATAGAATGTAAGGTCTTTCAGCACAGTGTCAGGCACATAGCAGGGACTTAATAAAAGCTTGCTGAACTGAACTGACTCTAATCCACTTTCTACTACATCATGATATCTCCTCCTTTAATGTGCAGAACTTAAGCCCTGTTTCTTCACGTTAATGAAAGGACAACCCAAGAAAAATGTATATCTTTCTACCACAAAATGAAAGAAGTTTAATCATTTATTTGATTTCATTTTGTGGCTGAGCATTTGAAAAGAAACAACATATTTTGCACTAATATCTAAGAAAACTCTGAGAAAAGAAACTTACTTCTCAGGGGAATCATATAAACAAGGCTTTGAAACTAAAATGCCTAAAAAATAAGAATACTGATCTTTCCAACACCTGTAGGCAAAAGATAATTTTACAATGCATTGATTGAGAAATCCTCCAATTTTTCTAGGAATTATAATAATTCAACTTTTATTCAGTAAATAATCTAAAAAATAATATAACACTAAGTCTAGTTGTAACAATATTATATCAAACAGAGGGGCTGAAATTAGGAAAATTAGCAGAATTACGTAAAAAAGGGAACATAAGGAACTAACTTCTGAGTCTGGACAAAGATACTTCTTTCACTCATTTGGTAATATCCTGGGAGTGGTCACCCATTCAGAACTAAAGGATGAATATAAAGTGAGTTCATTTCAAGGCAGTTTCAGAAGTCTGTAATTCCCTTGGAACTAAATGAACAAAACTAGATAGCCATTAGACTGTACCAAGAATCTCCAGGAATGATAAGATTGTTGTTGTTTGTCCACGACATTAGGGAGGTGATGCCACAACATCCAAGTGTATTGGATTTAAGTGAGGGAGGTCTATGCAAAGTCACTAGCCTCACTTTCTCCTCCAGAGCCATCTGGGTCCAGCAGCCAGACATGGATCAGGACAATTGGAGATGGTCCAGGGTTCAGTGGGGGGCTTTTCAAGCTAAGGATTTGAACAGGTCTCCATTTGACTGAGACAACGCCCATTCAGTGAATAAGGCTTAATAAAAAATGAGGCAAAGAATGGTCTCTTTTAAAAAAAAAATTATCTGGGAGGGGAAGACCCTCAGGGTTTCTGGCCAAAACAAGTTGACTTCTTTCACGTTCTTTTTTATTTATTTGAATTTTCTTTCTTCTTCCACCCTCTTTCAGCTGATTAGTAATAAGCCTCAACAAAAATTAATAGTAGACTGTCACACTCTCTAAAATCCAGTTTAATATTCCCAGGACTCCATCTTCCCCATGAGTGTACTTTATAAACACAAAAGCATTACCCAACTATGCTTTCTAAATAGTTGACAAAAAAGCTTCCCAAAAACCTGACTGACAAAAAACTTCCCTGTCAACAAGGAAATTCAACCTGAGCCTCCCACAAGGACAGCTCAGATTTTTAAGGATACAGTTTGGTAATTTTTACATTTTGAATATAACAGTTTTTCTAACCTTAGATCTTTATCAATTTAACACAAGTAGTTACTGAGTACTTACTAGAAAATATCCAGTATTGTTGGGGTGGGGGGGGGGCAGGGGGAGGGGAAGAATGAGTAGAAAACAGTTCCTACTCTCAAAGAGCTTACAATCTACTTGCTGAATTGAAGTAACTCTAATACACTTTCTACTACATCATTTCAACCCCAGAATTTAAACTCTGTTTCTTTGAATGAAAGGACAATCCAAGAGAGTTATCTATCTTCTACCTGAAAATAAAAGACCAGCACACATGAAAAATTTAAACAAT